CACAGCATGAAATTCAGAATCCAAGCCTGTACCAATGGGGTAACAAAATCATGAAGAAATGGAAACTGAATTTATTTCTGTTACTCCAAAAGTCCGTTTTCGTCGATCTCTTGACTCTTAAGGGGTGGACTATATTCTACTTCCGCACTGCTAAATACAAGATTCAGTGAAATTGCATTCAGTTAGCGTTGGCAATTCGCCATTTGCACGTCTCCCATAATAGAACTTGATTGCAACCTCCCCCCACGAGAAAAAGAAAAAAAAGATGCATGTAAGCATTGTCTTCATTTTCCCTTGGGAAGACGTTAATACCTTAAAAAATCGTAAGAAATTGTTCCACTTAAATGCGACTAATGAATCTTGGTGAAAATTCTTGCAGGTATCATGACTCATTGGGTTAAAATCCCAAGGGAAAAGGGGGGGGGGGGGTACTCGTGTAGATGGGCTAGATAGGTATGTACCGCCCAATAGGGAGGGGTTTTAAGGATCTCCATTCTTAAATAGGGTATCAATGTTGCCCTTGTTGGCGTTGTGTACCGAGAAACAAATCATCTGTTAAAACTGAACTTTACCTTACAGTATTAGGAACTGCGTGTTTCCATTGAACTCTCAGTTTTTGTTTTTCTGTTGGACTGGGTCTTGGTGCTTCCTCACTCTGCATCCAGCGGACTGCGGAGGACCGATACATCATATATGATTATCATAGAGTACCGGTAGAGAAGCCTGGAATCTAGTTTCACATCCAAGATGGCGAACCGCACGGTTTCGGACGCCAAACGGTGAAAGGAACCAATCCCCAATATCTTGTCAAAAAAATTATCCGTTCGCGTATTTATGAGAGCAAATATTGGAAGGAACAGTGCTTTGCGCTTTCAGGTAAGTTTTCTGTGTTCTTTTAAAATCGAACTACTGTGCGTTGTTTGGATCATCCGGGAACTTAACCTTACATTGTAAGCTCAGTTCTTATGTCCATTTCATGCAGTAGAGTAGGATGCATTTAAGAAAAGCTTTTTGTAGATAATAACTTGTTCCATAACAGATGTGTAATTTTCTGACTTCCGGAATGCCCCCCCCCCCCCCCCCCCCCAAGGGGCTCCGGGGGGGCTTTTGCCCCCCTTTTCATCCCGGGGGGGGGGGCTTTTGAAAATTTTGCTTGGCTGGGGGGCGGGGCTTTGCCCACCCCCGGGGTTCTCCCCGGCGTTTTGCCACAAATGGGGTTTCCTATCAGACTTAAACCACACAGATTTTCGTGAAAAAAANTACCGGTAGAGAAGCCTGGAATCTGTTTTCAAATCCAAGATGGCGAACCACACGGTTTCGGACGCCAAACGGTGAAAGGAACCAATCCCCAATATCTTGTCAGAAAAATCATCCGTTCGCGTATTTATGAGAGCAAATATTGGAAGGAACAGTGCTTTGCGTTTTCAGGTAAGTTTTCTGTGTTCTTTTAGATCAAACTACTGTGCGTTGTTTGGATCATCCGAGAACTTAAGCTTACATTGTAAGCTCAGTTGTTATGTCCATTTCATGCAGTAGAGTAGGATGCATTTAAGATTAGCTTTTTGTAGGTAATAACTTGTTTCATAAAAGATGTGCAATTTTCTGACTTCCGGATTGTCCCCCCCCACCCCCCCAAGTGGCTACTGCGGGGCATTTGCCAACCCCAGGGCCATTCCCGAGCTTTCGACACACATGCGGTTTCCTATTAGAATATAACTACACAGAAGGTTTTACTGGAAAACAAGCACATTGGCTCATCTGTCAAGGATAGCAATAAATTGTAAAGGGTTGTAAAGGCATGTTCTTGATTTTATGCATGCATTTCTTCATTGCCAGAATTACAGAATTACATAGTGAAATTGGAGCTATCGATGTGAATCAACGTTTTTTGGTTATTGAATCAAATTTCTGTTGATATTTTTTGAAGAACATCCTTTCATATTCATAAAACTATTCATAACATATAACTTAACAGTGCTCTATTAATTTAAATGTCAATAATTTTTATCAATACTAAAACCATAAACTGGAGAATGTTGTCACAGCGTGAAGTCTTAATTAGGATCCTAGCGCTATTACAAGGAAGACGTTAATTGAAACAAAAAATTGCACATTAACATGCTTAAAATGACACTTTCGACTGTGCGATCATGGAAAATGTTGCAGTGTTGACGGAGGACGGGGCATTTGCCCTCTTTTTTCATCCCCACTGCGGGAATTTGACAGCTCAAGAGTCCCCACCCCCGGGAATTTGCCATCCCATGCAAAAAAAGGGGTCAGCCCAGGGGAGGGCTGGGTGCAGGTAGAATTGACTGATGCATTATATTTTGAACATTATGCAAAAGTGCCGATAATCATATTTCAAACTTGGGCCACCTGTGCACGTACATGATTGTTTTGCCATGCAGCAGGCTAGTGATACTACTCAAACGAGTATTTCTTTCAAAATTTTGTGCCCTTTGGCTAAATCATGTGATGGACAGAGTCTTCCACCATCTATTTTGTGTGATTCCACAAAATATCCATACCCACCCCAAGAAGGGTCATTGGACTCATTTCATGAGGAGGATGGTCAAAAAAGCCAAATTTTGAATAGAAAGTATGAACGTAGACTGCAGCGTGCAAAGAAAGCAGTGTCCGATAGCCTGGGGCTAGTGGATTTTACTATCAGGCTAGTGAATTCTGTTCTTAACTTGCCCAATGGGCAAGTGAAGTATTTTGAGGTATTGAACTTACAGAAGAACTGTGAAATCAATTCTGCTCCTCAAAAAATTTTGGGGGCTAGTTGAAATGACATTAGCTAGTAAATGCTAGCTTCAGCTTGCCCGAATGGCAAGCTGCAAAAATGGCTTTCTTTGCACCCTGTAGACTGGAATTTGCAAAAGAGTTGGGGGAAACCTGAAGACCTTCACTGAGGGGAGTATGGATAATTTTTCTTGATCCACTCGTTTGCTTCCAACATAATTGTGCTTTTATTGTAAGCCACTTACATTATTTTGTGCGGTAAACAAATTCACAACGTTACATTAATTTATGATTTACCAGTACTAACCAGTCAATGTAAAACGCGGACTGCGGACTGCAGCTACCAGGGGTAAAATGCAGGCTTGGTGCAAAATGCAGAATAAAGACTGTAGACTTTTTTTGAGCATTTGTGCTCCTTCTTCTCAAAATCGGTGAAATAGCTACCCGGTATCAGTTACACACTTTGCTTGCTAGTCGAAGTGCATTGCCCATTCGCCAGTTTAGTTTCAATGAACATCCGAACAGCTTACGGCTGCGTACCTTGATTTGCAATACTTTCATAAAAGGTCATCCAAATTTCCTGCAGAACATCTTTCTTTGTTGTTGGAATGATTTACTCCCTTTTTTGTCACCATAATTCTTCCTGTACAGTATTTTGGGTCAGCAGCTTTCATTTAAGCGTAAACATTGTGGTGTTGTACCAATTCACGGTCCCTGGAAGCGTGAGGTCTCTCGGACAGAAAAAAAGGTTCAAGATTGCGGTTATGTTTTTGGGTCGTCGACGACATTCCAGAGAAGAAAGGAGTGGATTTGTGAATGCAGATGTCGTCAAGAAAGTGTTCCTTTAAATGTATTTGCGGGATTTTTTTGCCCCTAAACCCTTCCACAATTACATCCAGTTTATGCTCGCTCTGCATTTTACCCCAGCCTGCGTTTTACTCTCAGTCTGCAGTTTGCATTTTACACACAGTCTGCATTTTACCCCTGGTCCGCAGCCTGCAGTCCGCAGTCTGCATTTTACACTGATCAATTCACTAACATTTCAACAACTGATTACAATAATGAAAACTGCAATGAAATGGTTTTGAGAAAAATGTCACTGAAAAGTTCCAGTTGTCTGTACTATTATGTAAGCTTGCATGTATGCAAGCTTAATTGTAAAAAAAAAACAATAACACTAAGTACTAACTATCTAAGCTTGTTGTTCCAATAAATACTATGAGGTCAATGATCAAATGGTTTGTAAATGTTTCTGTTGTGGCCAGGCCGCTCAGGCTAACTTTAGTTCAAGGCTTATTTTCTTTCCATTCAATCTCTTTGTCATTCATTTCAACATGCCTCCTCCTCCCAAAAAAATAAATAAGTAAATAAATAGATAAACAAAAATGATGATAGTAATCAAATTAAATTTTGTTAAACACCTAAAAATAAAGATAAGCGAAAAAAGTTTAAAACAATGTTTCGATGTCACCATGACATCATTATCAAATGACAAAGATAAATACTAAAAANTAAATAAGTAAATAAATAGATAAACAAAAATGATGATAGTAATCAAATTAAATTTTGTTAAACACCTAAAAATAAAGATAAGCGAAAAAAGTTTAAAACAATGTTTCGATGTCACCATGACATCATTATCAAATGACAAAGATAAATACTAAAAACTGACCTAATAAATACGATTTTCATTTACCTTTACAAACATGTTACTTTTGTTTTCTAGTTTGTTTTATCACTTTAATCCGTATATATAAGGTCAGTTTTTAGTTTTTATCTTTGTCACTTGCTAATGATGTCATGGTGTCATGGAAACGTTATGTTAAACTTTTTTCGAATACAGACCCATTAAATTAAATACCAGTAAGGTATTTATAACGGTAATTAACTGCAAACTTTTAAGTAGAAATAAGCCAGCAATTAGCTGCTCCGTATTATAGTGTAATTTTGTTTTTTTGCTAAAATAATTTCATGATCCATGGTGCCAAATGTCTTGTTGAGATCCAAGAAAATTGTGTACTTTGATAAGACTGCTGATTTACATCTAAATACCAGCTATCAGACCCTTCCAGTGTGGAGGTTACTGAGAGTAATAGGTTACCTTTAATACCGCGTGATGACGATTGAAAAATATAATTTTTTAGTTTATATCAGATAATTCCTTCAAACACTTTATCCACTACAATAACTCAGTGTGGGTACTGCCAGTAAGCTAAACTTGTACGCCTCCCAGAGAAGGGTTAGTCTGGGCAAAGTCATCCCGAGCCACTTCCAAATCCAGTAGTGCCAACTATGGAGAAAGCGCCCCAGTGCTGAGGACTTTTGGTGTCATCCTTTGATTGCAGAATATTCATGGCTCTCTGTAGCGATGACGCTGCATCACGGGAAGACTTATATTCTTGGTAGAATGCTGCCATGAGTTCAGAGGCGGATTGATCGTCAATTTTCCATAGGGTTGTAATCACACAAGCTGCACCTGATGCTAGAAACGCGCGTGCGAGACCTTCAAACAGAAGACAGTATTTTAGAATGGATCAAGAGAACGTTTAACCTGGAATGTTCTCAGAAGGAGTTTGAATAATGGTAGCGTGTCGCCGTTCGGGGTCGCAGGTTGTATGTCAAGGGTGCGGGTTAGAATTCGCGGGTGCGGATTTTGTTGTTGCGGGTGGGTAAAATGATTTTGCTTGAATTCAAATTAGAATTCTGTAACTTAAATTTTTCCCACCTGCGACATCCAACCCTCACCCACGACTTCCCAACTACACCCGCGACATAAAACCCGCGACTCGCGTCTATTAGTCACACATTTTTAGAAAAGGTTTCTTAACTAGGTGACAAGAGAGTATGGGTCACGCTTGTGGGGTGGTGGGTTATATTTTTCGTTTAATTCGTTTTCAGCGAAAGGAAGAAAACTGATTTTCAAGGCACAATTTTTCTTGAGAGTATATAAAGATGTTCAATTTCCTTTATATAGATATTCATATTAAGATTAGATGTTCCTAACTGCATTGAAACAGACACAGTACTGTTTTAGTCATTGTATCCCTTATTTTTGTTTTACGCGTATACATTTGTGAGACCTGTTTCCCCCGATTTCTAGCGATAGAGTTTAACATAAATAAGCACAATCAAAGTTTGAATCCTTCTTTTTAGACTGTCGGGTTACCATGGCAACGAGGCAGTGCTCATCCAAATAAGCAAACGTTTTAGGTTCTTAAGATAAACTGCTCGAAAATTATTGTAACTAAGGGTTTGCTTCATGAGTACTGTGTTCAGTGAGCCTGCTCACAGGAGATTGGACCACTTGACATGTATTCGAGTTTCAACTGAAACCGCTGACTCCAAAAGTAATGGCAGTCACTGGCAAGATACTCATAGCGCTTATAACAGGGAAAAAATTGTTTAACATGGACGCTTTGATTATGAGAGGCCCTCGATCTCTCGACAGAAAAGGGGTGATCTCAAGTAGAAACTGTTTTATTTGATTTATTACTCTTATGAATATGTAAACAGACATTCCAGGTGGCCAATTGAGTGCCAGAAAAAATCCGATGGAGTGAATTCCGTATTTACATTAAAAATGACACTTGAAACAGTCTTGATTACAGCAAGGAGCCCAAAAGTGTGACCGCTTTTGATTTATTCACATTCTTTCGTACAGATTTAATCCAGTCAGGAGCCAGCTGGAGACTGTCCTCGACCTCTGATTGGTTAATGTCTGGATGGAAAAATGTGAGTTAATTAAAGGAGGTCAAACTTTTGGGCTCCTTGCTGTAATAGCATGATAAATTGTACTTAAAATTATATAAATAATAATGAAATTAACCGTAATAGCTCACCCAATATGCCGTCTCCTGTCACTTTACCCAACCCAGTTTCACAGCAACTGAGTACAACCAGCTCGGCGTTGAGTTTCATCTCTCTTACTTCTTCAGCCTTGAGAATACCATCGCAGTTACTGTCGGACTTCGCCAGGACGATAAAGCCTGGCATGCTAAAATCACCGTGGGAATCCGCGTTTTCGACAACAGCGTGAGTTGCAAAGTGCAAAATTTTATGCTTAGGCATGGCTGCTACCACATTCCTCTTCGTGGCCTTTTCTCCCGTTAACACATCTGAAGCTTCTGAATTTATTATCTTGCTAATGAGGTGTACTTCGCGTTCAGCAAAGGGAAGCTGCAAATACCTTTCAAAGGGCATTTTGGGGTTTCCGACGGCCAGAAGGCTTAACTCTAAAGACGCGTTGTCTTCAGAGCTCTTGCAAATTGCACTGCTTAGTTCAAGCAAATGGATTGACGGGCTGGTTGAAATGACATAGTTTTCCATTAAATATGGATGATTTGCGTCTTCCCGCAGGGCAGCAAAGGGAACTTTCAGCAAGAAATCCTGAGGAATGAAAATAATTCGTGTCTTTTTATCCTCTCGCGGAAGAACGTTTGCAATAGGGGCTATAAGTATTTTGTACAGCTGACAAAGCATTGGCTGCCATGGTGCCAAAACAGGGTCGTTATTGAGGTCATTACGGGTTTCCTGCGTCGTTGGTGGTGGATCGTCGTTGCCCCGAGTCAAGAAAGCTGCAACATTTTGGCCTTTTTGAGCTTTGGTTTCACTTTGAGTGGTGCAAGACTTTTGGCTTGTTTCACCAGAATTCAAATCTGTGTGATCAGATCCAGGATGATTGCCTTCCAAATCGTTATTACAACTTGATTGCAGGGGATCTTGCCTACCCTTCTCCGTTTCAGAGTCTGTTTTACGATCAGCCGGACAATCCCATTGAGGGTGGTAGAAGAACGAATTACCATTGTCTTTAGATTCACATTTGAACCCTGGAAACAGGTCAAGTCCCCTAAGTGATTCTAGCACCTCATCAGTTTGAATATTGGTTCTAGGCTGCACTTGTTGTCCATCTAAAGGCAAATGAAGTGTATTCTTGCATGACATAAACTGACTAAGCTCTTCCCGTTGAGATTGTTGAGCCATTGAGCTCCTAAGTTTAAAAATAAATTCATCGTTTACTTCAACCTTAAAATCTGTTCCACTTTGGAGAGGAGTTTTGCTGAAATCTAAACTCCCCGTCGGGTGTAACACCCAAGCATACACCCAATTGAAGATTGCTCCAGTGCGATCAAATTCCTTAACCAAAGAATACATGACCAAGGCCGTAGAAAGCTTGCGGCTAACTTGCAGAAGACTTTGGAATGACTGAGTAGTAAACTCTTCACGCAGGCAGTTTATATCTGTTAGTGAGGAAATGGAGCCCCATAGCCGATTCCGAACAATTTCGGCTAGTGCTCTTCCGCGACTGGCATCAGCAAATACAAACGCCTCTTTATACTTCTTCTGAGCCACTAACACCATTTGCAACAAGTTACAAGCATCTCCTTGGTTCTTTTCAAAGTTAGAAAGCTTTGACTGATCTTCCTTTCCAATCTGGGAGCGTATCGACTCCAAAGTTTGAAATCGTAGCTACTAACTAAAAAGGCGAAGACCATTTAAAGGTGACTCTTTTATTAGGTACCGTTCAACTACAACGTACTATCGGTGGGGTGGCTGCAGGTCTGCAGAAACTCGTAATAGAGCCATGAAGTTTAGACATTCAATTGCTTTTTCAAACTGTGCTAATGCTCTATATACGTTGCCAAGATTTCCCCAGGCCATTCCCTCACCGGCAACATTCCCAGCTTTCCGTGCTGTATCAAGAGCGACTTGAAACAACTCTGTGGCTGGGTCGTAATAACTGTTAAGAAAATAATAATTTTAAAAAAGAAACAGCATGTACATATAAATCTACATAATAATAATAAGAAATATAAATCTACATTTAAAGAAATTAACCATGCGCCACTTTTTCTCATATATTTTGAATAATCAGGTGAGCCGCAACTCTTAGTTTCCGTTCATGTTCCTGGCGCCAAAAGTAAATGTTTGATCTTCACCGATATATCATAGCACATGTGCAAATTTCGGTGTATCAGTGGACAAAAAGTAAAATAAATACATGCTGGTAAAATGAATTCTGAGTTTTGTTTTTTCCTTTTTTTTGTTTTGGTGTTGTTGTTGTTGTTTTTTCTTTCCGTTGTGTTCTTGTTTTTGCTTTTTATTGTTTCTGTTAGTTGGTTAGTTTTGTTTTGTGATGAGTGGGGTTTGCTGTAAAAAAGTGAAGGATAACTATCATGGTCCTGTTTTATAATAATGAAGACTTAGGAAGAACAGATGCCATACCCTAACGTCGTGTACAGCTTGCCAATTTTGTTGAAGGCTATTCCCATTCTTGCAAAATCACCAAGCTGTCCTGCTAGCGAGTATTCAATGAACTGATAAACCACAGAAGCGTCGGCCTCTTGGGGATTATAAAATTTCAAGAAACCGATATTACCGCAAGCGATGGCAAGGCCATGTATATCTCCTCTCTTTAGAGCAATGTTGCAATGTGTTCCATGAAGTTGCTCTGCATCCCAGTACCTACAAAAAGACATATTTCGATAAATCTCCGACCGTAAGAGACTTAGCTGCTAACATTAGGAGTTCCGTTCTCTTATCGTCGAACGCAACCATCATATAATTTTCATTCATAGACCTCGATGTTAGTTATAATTCCTCAATTAGTAGAGGGGGCATTTCCCCTCAGCTACATCTTACAGACACGTTAAGTTTCATTTATTCATTCATTGACTCATTCATTCGTTCATTGCGCATATTGGTTTTGTCAGAGGGTATTTCAGTTGATGACGGTGACGGTGATGATCGGTCGAGGTATGGAAGGGGGACAGGGAGCTGTAATGTTGCCAAATGAAGCAACTGCGGGTTAGGAGAAGGTAAAAAGCGTTAACTATAAATATCAACACGACTGAATGATTACCTTCCTTCAGATCTAAAGACGTTACCAAGATCCCCACAGCAACTTGACACAAGCCCAGCGTCCTTCAATTGTTTTGCTAAGTGCAAAGCTTCACGAAGGTATTCTTTAGCTCGTCCCCAGTCTGCAGCGGATCTGCAGGCGTTACCATAATACTGAAGAAAAAGTGTTTTTGTGTAGTTGCTCATGTTGGATTTGGAAATCATAAGCTCTTTGAAGTAGTTTTCCATGGCTTCTTTTAACTCTCCACGATCTAACAAACAGAGCGCCAGATGTATTTTAGCAAGCATCTCTCTGTCAAGGTCTTTCATGAGGGTGGCAGATTCCATGGCCTTTTTGTAAAAATGTTCGGCTGTGTTAAGTTCTTTTCGTAGACGGTGTATTGACCCTAAATTTAGGGAAGCGTTGAATAGCAGCTCTTCTGTCAAAAGTGGATCTGCTGAAAAAATGAGTGTACAATCAAAATCACTGACTATCATTTTTTCTGCCAGCGAAATGAAAGGTACTGCTTCGAATTTTCGAATTCATTCTTTTCATGTTGTTTATTGTTTATTGATGTATTTATGTTTAATTTTCTGTCGAAAAAACGTTATAGAGTGACCACAGTTGTTGGTGTAACATGTTTCGCTTAGTTAGTCCTTTGCTACATCAACGATAAAGTCAATATGACCAGTATGCATATATGAGACCGAATTAAATTTGCAAGCAGCGAAAAAAAAGAAAACAAAAATAATTAAAAAACAGCGGCTCATCGCTAGTGGAGACAGAATATAATTAACGAAAGATTTTCCCTTTTCCAGACTTCTGCTTGTGTCACTTTTTTTTGTAACTCCTTAGCGACTGAAGCAGAAGGTTTGATCTCATCACAAAGCTTACCATCACCTTGCACGTTCTTTGTGGAGACCTCACGAGTAACCGGACCAAATGTAGGGCAAAACCCAACAAAAAATAGAAAGGAAATCCTTTCTTGAGCCGGGAATTGAAAACGCTTTGGCTCCAAAAAGAATTTATTCGGGTCTTATTAGTTTTATGGGAAATTTGATTTCACCTAAAAACGCAAGGAATGTCTAAAGTAAGCCGATATCGATGTTGAAGCCTAAATTATATGTTGAAGAATCAGAACATACTTCAATAGGGGTAGATTCACACATTCATCAAAAATTGAAACAAATCCTTGAAGACGGGATATCTATTGTCAAAAATTATGTTTGCTTGATTTTTTCATGGATTTACAGGTACACAGATTGATGAACAGTTGAAACCGAAACGTGAAATTCTTAATTATTTTTATCTGAAATAAATGTCAAATAGGCTTATCGATATGTTGTAGTTTAGTTTTATTCTCGGTTTAAATTTCCTTTTCTTTCCTTTTTGGGTATGGTAATGTATGATAATGATTTTGAAAGAAAAGAAAATAAGATTTTAAACAAGGGTAAAATTGCACCACAACAGATACACGCACTGACGGGCAGGAATGACTTAGGGAATTCATATTACCGAAGAACTGTAATCAATCCAGTTCATAAAAAAATTGGGGCTAGTCAAAATGGCTTTCAGACTAGTGCATGCTAGGTACAGCTTGCCGGAATAACAAGCTGTAAAGCTGTCTTTCTTTGCACCCAGAACAAACTATAATTAAAAAAGTAAGTCTCTTTTCTACTGCTTTGTGAGAGTCCAACATTGAAACACATTCCAAGTAACTAAGATCAAAACAGGTAGGTTGCAGGGAGGAAAAAAAAACAATTTTTGCCGCCACAACATTAAAATTTCTGGTAAGTAGGGCAAACAAGTTAATACAAACCTAAAGGTCTATCGAAAAAAATGTCCATGTAAATTACCGACCCAAATTTTAAGAGCAACCAATTATAAGTTATTTCTCCAGCACACAACCTCTGATCTGTATTTACCGTCGAATTATATCCATCTATCATTGACAGAAACACAATCACTCTTATAAACTTGAACACTTTATTAGCTTAGCTTGTACAGTCGTCTCTTGAGGTCTTCCCTTCCAAACAGAAATTCAAGCTTTGTACATCGAAGGTGCGTAAAACTGCGCTTCGTTGATGTTGTCGAGATTACTCCCTGCCAAACGGTTTGATGTAATCGACCATTATTGATGATGAAGAAAGTAGAAAAGCGAAATAAACAGCTCTTTCCTCAACGTTATGGCCGCCTGTTTTGGTCATGTTACTAACTGGTATGGAGGCGGGGAGAGGGCGCGACCGAGAAACGATGGAAATTATCTTGCGACTGCAGTGGAATTCTTGGAGAAGCAAAATGGCGGATAGAAATGCGCTCTTGTTATTGTCAATTGTACGTTGCGAAGAAGAATCTCCTTTTAAATGGAAATTTCGGAGATAATAATGAAAACGTTTACACTTGGTACTGCCATCGGTTTAAACCGGACACATAATGTTTCCTTTTGTGCTGAGAGCGTAAACGATGCCGCGTGGAACAGAGTGAGATTGGTTGAGGCTAAGCTTAGTTGTTTCTGCTGGTGCATAAATGCACCCATGAAATCAACCCAGCTGGAAAGTTTCCAAAGAGACCATGGGAAGAGAGTACGGTTCACTAGCCAAGCAAGTATTTGGAAGTGTTTTGTTTGACTTAGACAGGAAAGGAGCAAATACAGCTAATTCTAGAAAGGTTGTCGGAAAAAGATGGGCACGCGACAATCCCGAAAGGTAATATGGGATATGCGCAATACACTGCTCCTGGCACTGTAGCTGTCGACCCTACTTTTGTTGCTTTCCTTTAACACTCAAAGACATATGTCCATCGCCTCTCCTGCCATTCTTTCAAATTCTTTGAAGAACAGTGAACTCAAAACTACCCACAATACCCTTCGGGGTTGTCGCGTGCACTTTATCAGACAACATTTCTCAAAATAGCTCTATATACGGCGAGCTGAGAACTATATACCAACTTTATACTTTGAATTCAATTGGAGAAAAACCCTCTTAGCTAAACGTGTGAGGACAAACATTGGCAGAGCAACTGCCAAGACATACAATGGGGATCGTCATTTCCATAATGTGTGCGATATCGATAAGTGATTTTAGATGTTTTAAATTTTATTACTTCAATGTTTGTTGTCAAATTATGAAGAAAAAGACACTTCAATATAAAGTTTTTGCTACAAACCAGCTTACAGTATTTTACAGAGATGTATTGAAATACTGCATGTACTTTTAGGGTTTTATTTTTTGGAAAAAGAAATGCAGGAACCATTGATTTATTGTCCCTTATATTGTGAAATAATGCATTTAATTGCTAACAGAAAATTTACCCTTTTGGTTGCTTCTAACTCAGATTTTGTCTCTGCTAATGTAACACTAAACTGCACCCTTGATATTAGCCTGTGCCACAGATGGAACTAAACTCTGGGTTAAGTCTGTCTGCAAAACAGCGGCACAATCCTAGTTCTGGTCCCCCCGTGTGTGTATCAGGATTTGAGTACATGCCAGGACTGGACTGTCAAAAATGTCATTGTCCATTTGCCAATCATGTTGAAGGGAAAATCAAAATGCCGGTAATTATTTGAGTACGTTGGAGCCCAGAACAAGAATATTACTGCTGCTTCGTAAATGTTACTAACCAGGGTTAGAATACATCTGCAGCACAAGCACAAAAGCTACCTTGATATATAATGTTCAAAATATTAGGTAGCTGAGATTGTTGAAAATTTGGAAGACTAATGTAGATGTCTTCAAGACTGAATTAACTTATGCTATGACATAAATTTGTGTCCCTAGAGAGATAGTGTTATCAGCAGATTTCAATTTTGTATATGTTGTAGTTAATTTTTATTTCAGTTAATTTTGATTTTTCCATTGTTTCTGTGTATGGTTATGTATGCTAATGAATTTAAAACAAAGGAAAACCAAAAGTTAACTGAAATAAAAAATGAACTGCAACATTTTCACCTTTTTCTCCTTAAGTCGTCCAAATTCGCACAACATTTTGACCAAATTTTCCTGAAGTCGCCTTAAATCGCCGTAATTTTAGGCGACTTAAGGTCCCAGAGTAGGCCTCAGAGTTGCTGTTCAGCGTTGGCTCGATTGGTGAGATAAGCGGCGCTAGGCTGTTTCTCATTTGGGCGAGCATGGTAATGACTAAATTATCGTCAATGGTAGCCATAGAGTTCTGATGAGAACTGTTTAAAGTGCAAGACCGGTTTCGGAAAACCAATTAAAAGTGGTTTCCTTTGTCAGTTGCTGTAAGCAGTTTGTGCTCCTGAGGTGGCGAGCAAATGCAAGTGACTTTATCGCTGGAAATCAAAGCGCAGTGATACAAAATAACCAGTGAGAAGTATGGCATTTCAATCCGTTTCGCTTGAATATTCGCGCGTTCCTTTGTTAGCGGTAAACAATAGATGCTAACTGAAAGTGAACTTATGCAAATTTGCATAACTATGCTTGTTAAACTTCACGATGGTTTTTAACAAGTTTGCCCTTAAAAATTGCTATCAATTCTTGATTTAAAATAAATCTTAAGACTCAGTTATTGGAGTGAAGTTCATACCGTGGCAGTGTAATTTGCAAATCAAAGAGTAATAATATTGTCACTCGACCCTTACCGTGTATAACTCCTTAAAAGTTGTTGTTAATTGATGGTTTTCACAGTGACGTCATCAGATTGCAAAGTCAAAAAAGCCAGGTTTTACGAATTCCCCTGCTTTACACTAGGTTGAAGATAAATAGAAAATAAATCTTTGTACAAGTTTCCAGCCCCGAAGCGTGTTTTGTTTCGAAAATACAGCAATATGAACTTCCCAGTTTTCGCAGTGCGTGACAGGCAAAATAGGAATGCTGTCTCATGGAAAAAAGTCTCTCCTCTTGATTTTCAGCATTTTAACCATTTCAAGTATTAAGAGATGTGTTTATGCGCACGTATGCTAGCTCTGGAGGGAAAAGAAAGAGCTTTTATAGAAAAAGTGAACTCCAGATGTTTTTGTTGATTTCCGGCGGCCATATTGCTGGACATTTCTGTCCACCAATATGGCGTCTCCATACAAAGATCTACGAAGGTTCGTGAAATGTTTCGGCAAATAACTCAGAAACTGTGGGCCACATAGTCTGCGTAGTTGGCAGTGTTGTGTGGGTACGAGATTAAAGTTTTGGCGGCGGAGCCGTGTTCCAGAAAAAAGGGAGTAGGGACGAGGCGGATGGTATTTCTCGCGGCTTCGCCGCTCGTGATGAGCCTCCCACGCAGGCGTTTTTAGGGGAGCTCGTTTTTCATCCCTCTCGACAAACGCCTGCTCAACCGAAGACAACATTCCTTTCCCAAGCTAAGCCAGGAATGTTGTCTTCGGTTAAGCAGGCGTTTGTGGGAAGGGATCTAAAACGAGCTCCCCTAAAAACGCCTGCGTGGGAGGCTACGCTCGTGACGGCTACAATCGACTACATTACAACAGCTCTGCCGCCAAATCTCACTCGACTACTACACAATACCGCCAGCTACGCAGGCTATGGGCCACAAAGACCTGAGATTTCGACAAATTGTTTATGTATTTAGTATTTAATAAATTTCATTTCCTTGCCTTCTTCCATTGGACGGTTTCCAATTTATTTCTTTGTGCCGTGTTTATTGCGTGACAGTGAAAACGAAGAATTGAGGAATTTTAGCTCTAACGAGAATATTTTAGAGATTTTTCCTTCCAGTAAGCAACAATTGGGGCATTAGGATATATTTACCCGAGCGTGTTGTTGCCTGTAATAAGGTGCCGTATGAACTCAGAAACAGAAAACGAAAGCGGAAGTTCTGTATGTTTTCGATAGCTTGGTATGTGTTCAAAACTGAAAATGGAAGTCGAGTTTCGTATTTCAGTTCTATAATTGAGACTATAAATTAAAAATAAAAGCTCAGCAAGTTATATGACTTTCATTGGTCATTCATGTACCTGACAATTATTTACTTCATGAAGCCAGAAACGTCACCCTCCGCTTTAGAACAAGGGTAATAGTATGCGTAAAAACGGCAGCTTGACGTGGCGGAGACAGGCGAAACAGAATTTTTCCTTTTTTTCCCCTTTCTCTGTCTTCTTATGTTTCTTTTTACTTGCCAGATTCCGTTATTCTATCGTTTACCTGCTTGCGAAAACGTTTTGAGGTACCGGTAAAACGTCTCAGTTAAGGAATTCGTTCGTTCACACACCCGACAGCATGTGCGTCTCAGATTGGCCGGTTCTCTTAAAGATTCTTTTCATGTAATCGTACATTTATTTCGACAAAGTCATTTGTTTCGGCTAAAGCGGAGCCGGGGCAGTAACTAGCTCTGTTTAACATCTGTAGTTATTTACACTAAGGCATGTAACCAAGCCTTTTGTAACAAACTCAACTTCTATCTCGTTTTTCTATTTTAAACTACACGATATTCTTCCGTTATACCCGCAGTTGTTTGCTCCTGTCACCACTTTAAAGTAAATTGGTCAGTGAAAAGTGAAAGAAGTATTGGTACTACTACCTTCGATTGTCTTCCTTTGATCCTTGCAATACTCCATTGTTTCGTCGTACATTTTCTTCGCTGTTTCAAAAGCGACATTCCAAGGCCCAGTTTGAACTTGAACGTGAAAAAGCTGGCTCATAATCATGAATTTTTGCGGTTTCGTGTTCTCAGCCTTTACAATTAGTTTATCCCAAAGACGTTCTGCTGTTGGCAGACTTCTATTTGTATACTCCTGTGCTATTTCGAAGAGGCAGGGAAACGAAAATTCTTTTGTTTTGACCATCTTCTCCGTAAAGTCCTCGATAACATTTTCTTCCGGGCATGGAAGCTTATCACGAAGCCTAAGGAGCCCATCTATAGCAGGACACTGGTGTTTTTTAACTAGATATTCCATGTTAGCGCTCTTGAGCTTCCTCACTATAATCAAAAGTTTCTTACGACAAGAGAAGAAGGGGAGGAAAGGGAAAGGCTTCGACGCATTCTTTTACCGTAGCCGCCGAACACACTCCAGGTGGGAAGTCAAAACCGGTTTCGTCGAATGGAATGCTCGTGCCCTGTTGAGACTGTGTGCTGGAACGTTTTGAGCCCACAGTTATTATCGTTCAAACCGGTTCTGTAAGTTGTGTGGCACGTGACTAAAACGTTGCTGAAGGTTTCAAAAATGAGTGATAGAAAACGCCTCGGGGACCGACAGAGGTCTCTCCCTTTCCTATATTTTTTTCTGGCCGTGAGAGACCTCTCCTAGCAGGGTACAGTTGAGCTTACCATACCAGTATCGCCTATCCTTTTGTGGAAACCCGATCTTTAATTATTGCCCTATTAGAATGCTTGGTACGATAAATGATTCTCAGAATAATTAGAAGTCGATGATGTAATTGAACCGGGAGATTCCCAAGGAAATGAGTCTACCAAATGCTATTATCTCAGCCCAAGTGATTGTTATGTGGCAGAGTTTTTCTTGGACATGAATATTGTCAACTACTTTCGATTACAAATTTAGTGCAATTACATGTTTAGTTGGTGTGACTCGGACATTAGGCACGATTCAGACGCCGCACTTTACACTAGGGTCATACCCCCCAGTGACGGTATAATTTTGGGCATAATTCTACGGTCAGAGTATCGAGAATAATGCCGGCATAATGGGCATTTTTTGCATCATAAAGGGATGAATAACAATGATAACATTTAACATTTCACAAATGTCATGAGATATTTTCACTTTCAAGTACAAAACTTTTTCAAAGGCTTGGTAGCTACTTTCAAGGCTTTGTTGCGCCAGGAGAGTTGCATCGAAATAGCACTTTCTGTACACTTTTGAGTATTATTTGTCATTGCAATTTGTAATTTTATGTAATAGAATACTGTGTTTCTGGCTTACGAAGGTATTTTTTTGTCTGCGGGGATGGAAAAGGACATCAAATATATCCAAGATCAGTTGAGCATAATGCCACTTTTCGAGCATATTTTTAGGCATACCTGCTGTTGTTTTGAGAGTGACGCTCAAAAGCATATCAAATGTCCAAATTTTCGAGCATCATGTATCTAACCCTGCTTCACATGAGTCGAATCGAATACGAATTTAGGCCGGAAACCAGTGATAGCGTTGCTGTTTTCTGAGGCTAACTCAAATTCATTTAGGCCGGCTGAACTGATTCGGACGCCGATCTTTATCTCAGCCGAATTAATCATGATAATCATTAATTCAAAGGGGAAAAATAGGCACGTTTTGGTAAACTACGCAAAAATTTGTGAATTCGGTTCGGCTTTTGTGGTGTTTGGCGTTTTTCTTCACAAGTATTTTTTTTATATATAAAGCCTGTGGATTCAGAATTTAAGACCCAATTAATACAAGAACGTAACAATAAAAAAATATAAAGTTTTCCTTGTTGTACTAAATGGGAAACGGCAATAAAATGAAAGTACCGTCGGCCTCAGGTTTGTTAATCAGATGACTATTTCGAGCTACCGCCGCAAAATATGGACTCTTTCACGGCCTTTTTTTTACCTTTGATGTCCGCCTAGTTTAAAGTGCCCTTGAGATGGACACGAACGCTGAACTGGTCTGAATCATGGTAAGTCTGTTTGCATATTTTTCTTCTCTCATACGCCAGTTGTTACGTCACGTTACCATGGTATCAAAATTTCTGGCCCCGGTTGTTCAAACGATGGACAGCGCTATCCACCGGAGAAATCGCTGTCCAGAGCCTTTCAAACAACTGGGGCCTGGATGACAAACTTCATGGACCTTATTCAATAATTTCATTTAATTTATCGTGAATGTTGGTAAAAATTTCTGGGGTTGAGTCCGAAAGGACCGTTTCTAAGTTAAGTAAAATAAAAGTTTTGTATTATGTTCATGCGGTCGCCGTCGTCCCTAGGGAGCTTAAGCAAAGACGACGGCGACGGCAACGAGAACGGCAAAAGAGCAATAGGTTTTTAGATTGACAAAACAAAAACTCTGCACGGTGCATCACGCTTTTTTGTAAGATTTTTTTTGCCGTCACTGCAATAGGTTTAGATTGACAAAACAAAAACTCTGCACGTGCATCACGCTTTTTTGTACATTTTTTTTTGCCGTCACTGCACGCCTACGACGTGAAACTTCCTAATTTCGCGTTCTTAAGGAGGAACTGGAAACACCCATGACAGCGATTTTCTTTTCGTGAATTTAGATACAGTCCTTTAGAATTCAACTCCTGAAAAAAATCGCCAGCATTTGACAAGTTTTAAGAGTTTCAGTTTCAGTGCAGTTTGAAGCAGCGCGAATTCGATTTTTGGGTGATTCGCGGCGGTTGCTGCTCTGTGGTCACGTGACTCCTCTTCTCTCGGATCCTGGGAACGAGGTTGGAAATGCTAAGGGACTGGAAATTAGTGTCCATATCCAAAATGGCGAACCGCACTGTTTCGGACGCTAAAACGGTGAAAGGAACAAATCCCCAATATCTTGTCGAAAAAATCATCCGTTCGCGTATTTATGAGAGTAAATATTGGAAGGAACAATGCTTTGCCCTTTCAGGTAAGCCGTTTGAGTGTTTCAAATTTATTTTCTTTGTTTTGCCCAACAATGTTGTGCTTTGTGCACAGTTCTGTAATAACGTAACAGTTTGCAAGATTTTTTCAGGTTGAGCGTTTTGATAGCCTCAAAAAACGTTTAGCAGGTGCTGTTTTTATTTAAGATGAAGAGAAAAAACGAGACGAAAGCTTTCTTGACAACTTAAAAATGCCTTAACTAGAGCAAATCTTAGAAACGTTTCTCAGTGTTATGTATCGGTCAAATCGAAGCTCCAACATCCCCCCCCCCGGGCATACCCCGGGCATTTGACACCTTTGCCGTCCCGGGGAGGAGGGAATTTGATTATCAGAGACTTCCAGGGGGTGGGAGTTGGATTCCCGTTAGGGGTGGGGAATATGAATTGCACCCTCAATTTCATGTGAAATCTTTGGCGTGGTGAGCTATCATGGGGGACGTGGTGTTGGAGGATTTTCGTGGAAAAGATTGTGCTTTTGTGGCCAAGTGGTTACAAGGCAAGGGCTTAAACAAGCTTTGTGCCGTATTTGAAGGTATTTAAATTTTAATATTTTTAATATTGGATTCAGGCTTTGAATATGAATGTATTAAGTTGTGTTTACAATGAAATACAATACCTATACCGGTGATTCAATACAACAATAAAAAGCTCAACAGAGGTCAGTAGCGCTTTCTACTAATGACGTCACAAATTCCTGGTCCCTGCTGTGACTCAGACATTAAACCTGACCAGTGTTAGAGTTTAGTATGGGAAAGACTGTGTGATTGCGAGATGTGGTTCGCTAGTCCAATCCACAAAAATGACCCTTGCTTGCCAACAAGTCCTCAGTAGCTCAGAGGTTAGAGCAACTGATCTAGAACACAGAGGGTCTTGGGTTCGAATCCCATCTGGGGTTCAGATTTTTTCTGTGTCCTCTTGTGGTTGATTCTTTACATCTCCCTTTATTTCCTTTATAAAGTCAGTTCGGCAACAATTTTTGTCGTCTTTGAGGATGTTTATCGTCAAAGGAAACAAAATCTGGCCTGAATTTCATCCGATTACTTCGAGTCGTTATTACTCCCTCAGTAACGTCTGAATTGACCCGCCGTTAATGCCATCCAGTGACATCACTACTCCCTGACCTTTGCTTTAATTCATGCAAAAAGTAAAACACGGTTTTCAAGTGGCAAACCGAGAAATATCGTTTGGAAATGTCTGCATGATACAGAATCGCTTTATTTTTTTCGATCGTAATTCATGTTAAACATTCAAACTATCAACTGCATGCAGTACAACTCTGAACCGGTTGTACTGAAATCTATAATCAAACTCGGTTGCGATCACGCAATGAAATAAACACACACATGAAACACTTAGTTCAAAAACACAAGATTTGCTTTAATTGATAAGAAGCTATTTGGTCCTAAATGAATAAAAAAAACAAGGAAATCAGAAAGAAAAGCTAACAGAATCATTACACTTGACGGTGAAAATAGCAAGAAGTTCGAACTATAACTGTACATTGATCTCAGAAAACTTCGCGTAAACAAAATCACTGGCCGCCAAAACCACAAAGGGGCTCTAAATGAAAAACCTACAGACTGTCCGCAATGATTCTTCATTCGCAGAAATTACATACAGTGTGCACATTGTGTAGGTCACATTTGATTTCAAGTAAATTTTGAGTTAACCTGGGTTGATTATCTATGACTGTCTTTGTCTCCTAGTCCCAGAGAACAAAAGAAATTGGAAATCAACCTACAGTGTAGGTTAAAAAAAACTTTAGCATGAAATCCAAATTAATTTGACCTGTAACATCTGTAGAAATGTATATTAAAATTATTATTCAGCATTACATGTACATGTATGTCAAGGTTAAACATTCTGAAAAGCATTTGCATCCTGAAGTTTAGCCTGAGAAAACAGCTGACATTTTTGCAATGCCACCACTGGTCTCCCAAGATGTCTGAGAAACGAGAACAGAAACTCGATGCTGATGACGTGTCACGACCAAGATCTGGGTAGTGTTTCAGAGTGGTTGAAATTTTGCTTCAACTAATAAGAAGCACTACCCAGATCTGTGTAGTGACATGTCAACAGTATGGAATATCTTGTTACTTTGCAAGGAAACCAGTGGTTTTTTTTAGGAAATGTTGGCTGTTTTCTCAGGCTACGTGAAGTTTGAACATGTGGTTATTCTATCATATTCAATTCTGTACACGGTGCCAATATTATGTTGTTGTCTTTTGGGCTGTGTGGAAAGACCTTATCAACTTATTAGAATGTGCAGGCAGTGTTTTCTACCAAAGTGGTTTGTGAAGCTGGTTGTAAGCAAGTTGGCCAAAAATTACAAAAACTGATTGTTTACAGAAAGAGTGTTGCA